TTACCCATGCCAGCACATCTAAAGCCTTTTCCAAACCTTCTGGTTCTTCCTCTGCCCCATCGGCCCCATCTAAATAAATCATCAAGGGGGAGCAAAACAATTTTTCATCATATTTCATCATATTCCCCCCAAAAATATTTCCCCAATTCATAGAGATATGAGGACTGGATGATATGGGTAGCCAATGGGTAATTTTGCCACTTCCCGCTGAGGTGCAGCCTCTGTCAGAAGCAGGTGCCGGCAGCTGAACAAAATGAAGAATTTCCCGAACGACATGGCGGTTTTTAAACGGGACAATCATGGAACAAAGTGAAGGATTTTCCATGGGATTTTCCAGAACGCCATGTTTGATTACCGGAGGTGTTTGAAATTTGGATACTACCTATGGTTGGACCCAGGCAAGCGGATTCTTGGTGGAATATCGAGTTTGGGGAGACTCATGAGCAATAAATTGAAGGCCGATGGTTGGTATTAAGTTGTAGATGGCCCCAACCCACTAAGCAGTGAAGGTTAATAGGAAGATCCCAAGAAAAGTGGCAGTTCTGGTCGTCACTGCTCGTGGTTGGAGGCTAAGTCTAAGTATCAAGCACTATATAAAACCACATGATGATTCAACTATATCAAAATCAACATCAATCAACATCAATCAACGTATATTTTTAACTTTTTAACTATATTCAACCGCCCTAAGTTTTGGCCACCCATCACGCTTTGACTTTTTTCAGGTTGCAGCCTCCGGTGGCATCTTCTGTGGTCGGCGGAGAGACGGCGCCATCAAAGGCGATGAAAGCCCCATATTTTCATGGGAAAATCCTGGCTGTTTCCTGGTCGATTTTCCCTTAAAGCAAACCATCCATTGACTCTGAAACTCGTGGAACAGACAGATTTCTTCAGGAACTATCCGACTATAATATTTAGGAATTATTCCTCAGGAACTATCCAAGCTGTGGAAAACATAAACCAAACGTTGGCGGTGGATGGTACTACTGTGTATTTCAATGGATGAAATGTGTCCCATGTTTTTTTGGAACCAAGCGGTTTTCAAAGATATTTCTGAATTTGATGTTATTTTGTATGGTTGTTGTTCCAGTTGGGCGGTTATTTCAATCATGCTGCAATTTGGAGTCTTCCTTCGTATGGGAAATCTTCAGAAACCATTTTCACAAACTAGCCCATTTTCAGCCAAACATCCTAAACAATATCAGATTGTTGCTGATATGCCTCATTAGATGTCCCTTCTTATCCTTATGATTGTTGGTTCTTCCTCGTATTTTTCTTGGTCAAAACCAGATCCATATTAAGCTGGTCATACATCTTATCCCATGAAGTCCCTATTTTGAATGGTTAAATCAACCATGTCCGTACCAAGCATGGTTGTTCCCACGATGTTTCTTGGTTCCCGCATCCCATGTGGAGTTTCTCTCAGGCTGCGGAGCCGCCGCAGGATCCTCATGAAACATGGAGGAGTTATCACCAACAAAAACATTTTGGACGATTCATTTTAAAACAAAACTTTCTCTTTTGGGAACCAAGTGGTTACCCATATATATATATACATATACATATATATACATATATATATATACATATATATATACACATATATATAATACATATATATATATATATACACATATCTATATATATATAAAATACATGTTGCCCACGTTGTAAGCCAGCATGTCTGGGGTATATGATGGGATGAACACTTCACCAACCACGGGTTGGTGCCCCCCATCACCTGCAGCTGGGGCTAAGCACTGAAACCAAGACTGGACCGCCATGGATGTTGAACTCAAGCTGCAGGCATTGCACAGCTCCAGCCCAGAGCCCAGGTGTGCTGGAGATGCATGAATCGATCCTCCAAAGATGAAGATTTCGGGAAGGTTCGTGACCCGCCCCGGCTTGCCCTGCATGGGTTGATGTGGGTTGGTACCAAGACATGGAATCCTGGAACAGCCTGGAAACTTGTTGTGGATGCTCTTTTTCCAAGTGAAAACCGCAGAAACTTGTTGCCAATGTCATTGAACAGCAACATCAACTACATCTTACAGCTCTATTTTCTGCCTGCCACTGTGTTAAATCTCAGAGATTCTTAGCTGTCTTGGCTGCTTGACTGAGGTTCTCAGGGAACCCCAGACTTTAAGTGCAGAGGTGAGATCTTCCTCCCTCGCCCAGTTGACCCATGTTGGTTTCTTCGTTAAAGATCTCAAATTGTGCCATATAATGCGTTGACAATATGGTTGACATGGGTAAAACATGGTAAAACATCTATGCTCAAGAATGTCTCATAGTAAAAACTCCTGGGGTTTGACTAGCTGTTTCAATGGGGATTACTCTATGATAATATTCCCGGCCCTCTCCACCAGCATCAGCTTCAGGCCCTAGTTAAAGTCAATTTTGCGGCGCCATGTCACCAGCTACCTTGGGGCAGCGCCGTTCGTGCGTTCGTGCTGCCTGGGTTTTGTTCCATGTTTGTCAAGAAACGGAGATACCCCATTTGATGGTGAGTTTTATGGGGAAATTGGGGTTTGAGACCGTTTGGATTTGGGGGTGCCCTACCTTTGGAGAAATCCACCCAAAGATTTTCCCAAAACCATGGATCCTGATGAGGAGTTGGGGCTTCGAGTCATCAAGGATGCCACAAACAGACCAAGTTTGGGAGGAGTTGGGCAGGGCTAAGTGATATTATTATTGTTCCACATTTTTTTTATGGCCAAAAGCCACTTTTTGGCAGTTCAATAGTGGTTCGCTTCCCAACAAGTTGATTAATCCTTCTTTATAAAACTTGAGGAACTTGGTTGGGGTGTCCAATTTTAAAACATCCTCACCTTGTCTTACCTGATCATCTTCGACTTTCCATGCCTCGCGTTTGAGCTGGTCGTTCAGCCGTTCGGGTGCCGCCTCACTGTTTTCTGGGTAAACCTTCACAGCCAGGCTAATGGCTTTGTCAGGAACATCTTCCTTTGGACCAAGGGCTTTACCCATGACTTGACCACATTCCCCATTTCCACCGCTAGCCTTCAGGTGCCTGTCCAGCTGAACCCGCAACCTTAAGTTGATGGTTCTTCGGGGTGGAGCTTGGCAGGTTGCTACTTTTGCGCAAGTTCTTGCGATTAGCAGTCCTTTAAAATGACCTGATCTAGCGAATCTAGCTGAAAGATGGGACTAGTGATTGGGGCAATAAACATCATTAAACCAGATTAAAACCATGACTTGAAGCAGGGCCCACAGTACGAACGTGCTACCAAGCACTTGGTCGCATCCGCCAGTGGCAGCCCCCGCAGGTCAGGACCAACAAAGCCGAATTTGAATCGCTAGGAGAAGAGGCTTGGTGGATGCACGAGGCCCGCAGATGGACCACCATAAACTACTCCAACGGGCCATGTGGGAATGGTTTTGATCACCCATTTATGGACATTTTTTTTTAAATGTCATATTACATAGAAGAGGTTTGTGTATCCATATTTTGTGTTCTTATTTTGGAATGTATTTCATTGCGGTGCCGTGCCAGACACGTCGACCGTTCAAATTCACGGGGAAGTGGATCAAAACCTCAAGAACAGCTAGAGTACTCTTGGATTAGTTTGGTGATTTGGCCAACATATCCATACATATCCATACATATCCATACATATCCATACATATCCATACATATCCATACATATCCATACATATCCATACATATCCATACATATCCATACATATCCATATATCCATACGTATCCAATATTTGGAGGGTTAAGATCCAATGGTTGACGTCTTGAATGCATCCAGCCCCTCAGGCATGCATGGAGGATGCAGATCTCCAGGACTACTACGATGGAGATGAGGCATTTTATGGACGGAAGTGGGACATCTGGAGTTTTTTCGGCTTGATTAATATATACCCAGCAAATAACAATCATGGCTGATACATACCCAGCAAATTTACCAATCATGGCCTACTTTTCAGGTCGTTTTTTGTTCCCTGATTCGTTGGATCCATCGAAGTGGCAGGGAAAGTTTGCCTGGGAATGACGACTCGCCTGCGTGGCATTGCTTCGGAGTGAACATGGCAGACATGGCCCAAGGGCAGGGAGGAAGTTGGCTGATGGGCTTAAAAAGTGCCCATTTCCAGGTTTGCTATGTATAGTTACCTGATATGATCTTATATGTATTTTTTTCCCACTCCCAGTTACAGTATGAATTCGGTTCTGACGGGGTATTGAAAATGATCAGTGGACTTCCACAGCACGCCCTTCGGTCATGATTGTTTCCAACTGTCTCCGCTGAGTGAAATGCGGACAGCTGAGTTTCCGCAACAGGAAAAAGCGGTCAGCTGAGTCAGTTCTGTGGGTATTTCCCGGTGTTTCCTTCTGCCAGCGGTTCGAAGCATGTCCTGGGGTTGGCTGGGGTTGGATGTGCTAAGGTGCACAAATAGTGACCACCGCTGTGTCGGCTCAGTGATGAGCTGATGCACAGTTGATTACGGCAGGCATAGATATTAGGCTTAGAGATCCGGTGAAGTGAAACTGTGGCTCATATGAACCTGGGATGCACATGTACCTTTCAAAACTTCCACGAAATCATTGTTACCTGGTTTGCTCGTTCAATATCATGACGATGGTCGAATTCTATGTTGTAAATTACAGGCCATTTGTGGTCACCAAACGGAACCCTTTGTGGTCGCCGCATGTCGCCTTGATGGAGCAGTGTCTTTCAATCTGTGGCCCCTCAGCATTTCCAGCTCATAAGACCCGCAGCACGCGCAGCGTGCGCTGAAAACCGTTGCTGTGGGCAAAGCTGCATAGAATAAGCTGCATAGACTCGCAAGTGTGGTAGCAGCACGACGAATGCAAGACACTTTGGTGGGACGTGGCTCTTAGGTTGCTCTTGAAAGTTTGGAGAATCAGATGTTTTTTTTCACTGAAAACTCTTGCAGAAACTCCCCAGTGAAGGTTGTCCACAAGAAGCCCTCGTTACTATCCAGATACCTAGCCACAAGAAAAGCTTAACTCATGGCTGCTCCGCTGTTGAGCATAAGTACCAAGGAGACGGTTGGGACGCCAGTGGTCCTGATATCCATCTGACTATTGATGGTAATTGAGTGGTCCAGCTGTGGTTCCCACGTTCGCCATAGTAGGTATTCGCCAGGATTCGCCAGGTCTATTCAGTCTATTCCCAAGAAGCTTTAAAAAAAGAATGAAGATTGATTTTGGATCATTTTGGATCATTTTGGATCATTTTGGGAGATTTAATCTCCCATTCATGACTTTTGAGATTCTTCAAAAATTCATTATCCCACGACTTTTGCTCCCGAAAATTCGACTCACCCAAATTGGCAAGCCGAACGCCGAACGAGGAGCACACCTTTGAGGCCCAGTTCCATCCATCACGTGCCTTGGTGGCCTGTGCCACCATCACCGGGGAGGTGTGAAGCCATGGGGACTTTAAGCCACTGGATGCTGTGAGATTGACTGGGTGACTGGGTTTTTAGTGATGCCCCAAACTGGTAATATCATGTAATATCTATATTATATCTATAAAAATAATATCTATATTATATCTATATATTATATCTATGTTGATATTTAGGTGCTTTTTCTTCTTTCTCTTTTTCTGGCGGCTAATTGGAAATGGAAAATAGGCCCCCTATCAAGATCATATCCTTGGGTTTATGCCAAGTTGATTTGCCGGAGGGTAAGGCAGAACCTGAAGAGAAAGTTGCGTGTTTTGAACATACTTGGATACAACCTGGGGGGTATGCAACCATAATGATAGGACCTGATAGGGTGTTATTTTTTAAAATTCATGGAGTTATTGCCATAGTTATTCCCATGGAAAAGCCTCAACTGGAAGCATTTCCGCCATCCACTGATGGACAGGTGGAGCTCCATAGCTTTGATCTTGACCAATGCCACCTGGACGTCTCAGCCAGTTCGGGAAAAGCTGACTTTTGTATGGCAGAGATGGTAAAACATCAAAATATCCAATTACCATCCCCAATTAGATCCAATTATATAGATTCAATTACATACATTACATGGATATAGATCCCCAATTAGATCCAAGTATATTAGATCCAATATCCAATTACATCAGTTTTTTGTTTCCGGAAGGCCTTGGAGGAATCCCGCATGATCCAAAAATGGTCCACCGAGGTAGTGAGGAATTGTCCCAGACCATCACTGGTCACTTGGTGACCGTTTTGGGGGTCAAGCGGGGGTCAACAAGACCGGGACCACCCGGGACCACAGATAGTCTATGTTTATATATGTTTATATAGTATGCTTAGTATTCACCATCTAAGTGTATCTACTAGGGTACCTTTTGTTTTGACTCATACCCATGGGTCCATGGGTCCATGGGTGTTTTTGTTCGTTTCGATCTTCTTCTGGAGTAAAGCCGCCCATTATTGTATCATTACTATGATCACATAGCGTCATAATCATTGTTTTTCGGTATGTACTAGTACCATTCATGTTTATGCTTATCATTGTTGCTGTGATTGTTACTTCGGTATCATGTCTTGAAAATCAACTCAGACTCCATGAACTCCCCTTCTTGGTCTACGGAGTCCACGTCGAACTACCAAGGTCATAAGCGCTCCTGTCGCGCAGCCAAATGGATGCCAGGGGGCTGAGGTAGCCATTGCCCTTGGGGCAGATGGATGGTGAATTGGTGACTGTGGTGATGGGAAGTGATGGGAACTGGTGGTAAGTGATGGTACGTGATGGTAAACGATGGGTAATGGTGGTTTACCCTCTGGTTATGACTAACATAGCTATTGAAAATCACCATTTATAGTGGATTTTCCCATTAAAAATGGTGATTTTCCATAGCTATGTTAAATTACCAGAGGGTAACTAGATGTCCTTTTCCTATTGGTTGCTTGATCAGAGGGATAAACCCTCCTTCACAAGCCACCTGGAGGACTTGGTGCTTTCAACCAAGACGCTATTCCTGGCCGGTAGTGCATGTATGTTGGCAAATCTTCAGTCATTTTTGCTTGGTTTTCAACAAAACTCCTAGCATTTAGAGACCATTTCCAGACATCCCGACGGAAAGCAGCAGTTATATTTGGTTTTACATATCAGAATATTTATATACTATGAAACATAGTTGTTATTATCTACAATTATATATATATCTCATATATTATATATATATATATATTATATTATTATACATACATATTTATTCTATATAACAATATTATAATATGCTTATCATTTATCCCATGCTTAGATTTCCAGCGCTTCCAGGTCAGAGTCCATCTTGGCCTCGACGGGTGCTGACAAGTTGGCGCTGCTGAGCGACTTGGAAAGCGACAAGCAGGCGACATTTGGCAGGATCCAACCTTCATTGGATTTGTTTAAGGGTTTTTTTGCAGGAAAGCCCCATATTTCATAGGAAAAATCCATAAAAATCCAATGTTTCCTGGTAGATTTTCCCTTAAACCAATCCAATGAAACCGGGATTTACGGAAAGTACTGGATTTGGTAAATCAATGGATCTTAGTGACACTTGATTCACGAGATTCCCTTAAATCGCCGCCTGGGCTGCCACAGTTTGTCAGGTATGGCGGTGTAAGCTAAAGTCTGCAGGCTATGTGTGGACCTCAGCATATTGACACTGCAATTTGAGCTTCTTGCAACTGGCTTGATTGCCATTTCTTTTGAGGAAGGCGGAAAGCTTTTTTCATCGCACCAGTTGACTCAGTTAACACGCTTCATCAGTCGATAAATCCGATAACTGAGATTGAGGGAAGACAGAAATAGCACGCGGAGGGTCATGTAATTATGATCCCATTCTTTTTGTTTTTCGATCGAACCACTTTCCAAATGGGTTGGTCTGATGATCATTTTCATCATTTAAATTGCAATGTTGGGAGAATAATACTCAATTCTCAGACAAACCCAAATATCAGATTGTTGCTGATATATGAATCACCATGTCCCCAATAATATCCCTATGATTTCCCCTTTTTGTTTCTAAAAATTGATGGGTTAACATGTTTCAGACAAACCCAAATCAAGGCGGTGAAAAATACCCCACTATATCCCCATTCAAATTCTCATCCCATTAAGTCCTATTTCTAATGGTTTTCAATCTGTTAAATCAACCATGCCTGGGATCTCTGTGCATCTCTGTGCGCAGTGCCTCTTGCCCTTGGACGATCAGCGTTTCGCGGTAGGCGCGCAGTCTTGCCAGTCTTGGGGTGACTATTTTGAACCCCAGGGTTTTGGAGGATTTTCCAGAACATCATGCGCCGGATTGCTGGAGGGTATGAACAAACATTATCAACTGCTTGGTGGTGACTGGAACATCAATTTTATGACTTTCCATTTCATATATGGGATGTCATCCTTCCCAACTGACTTACTCCATCATTTTTTTTTTCAGAGGGGTAGGTTTTTTCACCACCAACCAGTCAAACATCCAGAAATTTATGGGATGAACATGGCTGAACATCAATCTCATAGAATTGGATTATGGGAAAAATTACAGGAAAGCCCTATATTTGATGGTAAAAACCAGGTTTTCCTGTAGATTTTCCCTTAATCCAATCCAGTGACAATCCCAGCTCTGAAATGCTGTGAAAACCCAGGGCTTGACCCCGTAGGCGATGAGTTTCGGCCAGGCGATGACGACGGAGGTCTCCGAATCTTCGAAGGTCGGCAGCCGAAGGCTACGGTCAGTGTGGAATCTCAGCACTGGTGGAGCTGGGCGTGGCTGGTGTTGAAGCAATATATATATATAATATGTATATATATATATATGTATGTATGTATGTATGTATGTATGTATGTATGTATATATATATAGAGGGATTTACCAATCAAAGGTGGGGATTTAACATGATTTAGCTGGGAAAAATTGGGATACAATAGGGGTGCCATGGATATAATACGCATGATTAGCCGCTTGGTGGTTTCCAGAATTTATTTTCAACCCTAGTTGTAATGATGATCCATCATCCCAACTACTGTAACTCATATTCTTCAGGGCTTTTTGTGCTCAAATCCATCTGTGAGAAGTTGTTTAAGCCAGGTAACATCGAGATCACGTGGAGACCCCAGAGCTATTGCAGCTATTGAGGTTGGTTCGAGAACAACGATTTCGCAGGGCGCCCCAGGGCTTCGAAAAAGGATGGAAACCTGGCCAGAAGCACGGCGACTCTGAAGACAAGGGAAAGCCACGTTTGGGTTGCCAAAATTGGATCTAGAATCCTTCGCAGTTGAATAGTTTGATTCCAAGAATCATCAGAATTTGCCTCAAGTTCTGACACATTCTCATATGAGCAGTGCCCAGTTGAACCCTTGTTGGCTTATGGAGGTAGTTCACCCCACCTCAAGGATTCTGAGACTGACCAGCTTACAAAAACGATGACTTTTTGGACCTATGGCCTATTCCTGTATTTATACCATATCAGAGGATGATATGATGTATGTAATAATATGTATATTGTTAGGATGAACATCCACCCAACAACCAGTAAGCTCCCCGGCGCTCAGATTGCCGACCTTGCCATGGGCACAGACGGCACCAGCCTTTGCACCTCGACTGGTGAGGGCTGCGAAGATTTCATGATGTTTGAGTTCGAATCATGTTCATGAGATTCGTAAAATTCACTTGCATGTATTTTGATTCCAAAAAGGATCAAGATATAGTATATTTAAAAAACACATGTTCAAGATATGACATGTTAATCACTGTGCTTTTATCTTGCATGTCTTGCATTATGTTTTTCATCCAATTGTTATGGCTTCTATATATATATATACATATCACAACACATCACCAACTGTTTGTTTGAGGCTTGAAGACATGCCGTTGTCAACTGTGGTCATCCACTTGCTGAAAATCTCATGCGATACATCATTGAGCAGCGGCCAAAACCCCAGTCGCAAGAATTTGAAAAGGGTTTTTTAGGTGATATGGCTCCGCCAAGTCGCCAAAAGTCGCGAAAGATTCCCGAAAGCTTTTGCGAAGATTTGCTTCCGCGAAAGCTCGCGAGCTCGAGATTTTCAGCAAGCATGAATTATTTCGCACATTTCCCATGGCATTTCCAACATTTCTGCGTTCAACACGTCAGGGAAATCATACAGCAATTTGAAGGCTTCGAAAACAATTTTTCAACGATTTCCAGGTTGTGACCGAAAATCGTCGAAAGCTTCGCGAAAGCTTCGGGACAGACTGACTACCGTAGCGGGATGGCCCTTCCCCCCATAAATTTGCTCAGGGAAGTGTTGGTAGGACGTGCTTGTTTTCCCCTGGAGATGAACATTTCAACCCACGTCTTGCCACCGTTATAGCTCCTGCATGCTCCTGCAATACATACTGTAGGAATACATAATGCAAATTCCGTCGAAAAAATGCACGGGAACAAACTTTTCATTTCAATATGTGTTTCAATATTTGGGGTTTTGGCAACAGCTCAATGGTGAACCTGTTGTCATCATGATCGACTGTACCAATCTCATTTTCCCCGGCAACATGACCCCAAATTTGCGCATCCTCGACTTTTGTACCCAACTAAGACCCTGACGACACAAGGTGGGTATGGGTGCAAAATTAGCAAAACCCGCCAAATCATGGATAGTTTCATGGTAACGGGTTCAAAACTCAGGGAGCCAAAATTGACTGTGTATTTTTATGCGGTAAATCCAGTTGAACATACCCTCTGGTAAACTAACATAGCAGGGGAAATCACCATTTTTAGTGGGTAAATCAACTATTTCTATAGTCTATGGCCATTTTCAATAGCTATGTTATGCTATGTTAGTCATTACCAGGTTGGGTAGTTTACCAAGCCATCCCCAAAATCACCATAAATGGGTTCCCCAAAAACCCCAAAAACCACCGGCCATCCGAGGCGCAGCATCTGGAGATGGCACCCTCGCAGTGTATGACATCCGCAAGAGCGGAGAGAAGGACGGAAGCCCCGACGCCGCAGGGTGAGTTTTGGGGAGTTCTTCTGTGATGACTTGAATTTGTGCGAAAGTTTTTTGTTTGGCAAATCTATACATGACACCCAACTGAACAGTCAGTTTTGATCATTTTTGAGTAATTAGGGTATCAGAGAGTATCTGAAGTACAGGTAGCAGGTTGGGTAAAATTTTCAGAAGTCAACCTCTTGGGAGGTCTTTGACAAACCACCCTGCAACTGTTCATGACTTGTGGCCCATAGCAGTGCCATGATTGGGTCAGGATCCTCACTTCCTCACTTTCGCCTGCTGCATGAAGCCACCGCTCGGAGCAAGATTCTGGTATGGTGACTATCGCAGTTCACCATGCTATCAGCAGATAGTTCCATAGGATCCCATAGGTATCAACAGCAGGAAACCTTTCCCTTCCACCCGGCACACCCGGCAATGGCGGACGACTGGCAGACGGTGGCTGCTAAGCCTCGTCGGCAGCCAGAGACTCGGGCGTCCGCTTCACAGGGCGTAGGCGGCGGTTTCGACTTCGGGATGTTTGCCGCTGAGCCAATGCTGTAGCTGATTGACCCATCAAATCATAGCATTTTACCAGCACAAAATGGCGGATGAAGCAAAAAGAGCAGGGGGAAGGACAAGCAGCAATTGCGTGTTTCCAAGAATTGCGGGACCCCAAATCCAATATTTGATCATTTTCTATTCGGAGAGACAAGCCAATCAGTATATAGGTAGGGTAGCATGCATGTTTGGATACACGGATACACCTAGATTCCAAAATTCTTTGAGGGCCAAGAACCAATTCTGCCTGACCATCAATTCAGAACTGAGAATCCAAAGTTTGAACCACTCGTGGATGTGCATCGGTTTGCCAGGCATCGATGTGGACAAATTTATCTCCACGTTTAAGACGCGAGCGTGCACTGACGAGAAACACCACGATTGGTTCCAGTGCCCCTTCTTCCACGGCAAAGTGGACAAGCGAAGAGATCCCTTCGAGGTTGCGTACCTCCCAGATGACGCAGGCCTCACAGGAACAGAGAAGGCATATCATCCTGTGAATTTCAGGACCAAGTATTGTGAGACATTCAGCCGCGCAAGGAAGTGCAAATATGGAGCATATTGTGCTTTTGCACATGCGGAGAATGAAGTACGACAGCCCACCCGATATGAAGAGGTGATGAAGCAGAAATTGTATCCATCCAAGCCTTTGCCGCAGGTGAGGGAGTTTCTTCCAGATCTGGCCCAGAGTGTTGTGCAACCACCTGAAGTCTTGAGGCCCGGCTGCCCAGATCCAGCCGAGCAGCGAGTGGCAGCAGTGGCAGTGTTCCTGCCATTGAGGTCATTCGAAGTGAAAGTGCTTCGGCACCCGAAGATGACGTTGTGAAAGCAGTTTTCGGACGTGGCAGTTGAGTACATGTGCAAAATTAACTTGGAGATCTTGGAGGAGAGCGATGGAGTGAGTCTGAAAATCCAAGGGCAAGAGCAGAATGCCAGATCTGCCAGGTCCAAGCTTGAGAATCAGCTCAGACCACTGCATAAGAAATATGGAGAGATTGGAACGAAGCCATACCCTCAAAAAGTCATGGGCTTACTATTTGACCTCTTGGAGAAGGATGGCCCGGAGAGATTTACAGAGAGAAAGGACTTTGAGTTGGTAGAGATTCACCTGGACTTGGAGAAACGTCAAGTCGAGGTCTGTGCGTTGGCACTACCAGAGGTCACTCGACCGATGCAAGTCTTCCACAGGATCGACAGGTGGATTCGAGACAATGAATATGACACCACCATGAACTGTGGAAGCTGCATGGATGACTTCAACAAACGTGAAGGCGCGGTGTCCTGGTATCCTCCCCAACGTCTGGTCTGGAGAACGGAGATTGGGAATTCTTTCCTGTTGAAAAGATAGAATCAATGGAGTTTGTGGGGATGCGACTACCTCAATCATGGCTTTCTTGTGGTTTACACAAACAGCATCTTGCTTTCTGAGCTAGATTTCTGCACAGCTTCTGCTGGGGAAAGGGTGGCAAGCGATGAGTTTTCTGAGGTTTGGCTTTCATACCCCAACTTGGAAACTTGCTCATGGGCCTGAATCTCTCCCTAACAATTTGCGCTGGTACCAAGCAGCCCCAGGTGTCACATGCGTCGACGGACATTTTTTTTGTGCCGAGTGCATGGAGCGGATGCTGAATGCTCAGCTTCAATCCATCGGTTCTCAGAAGGGCAATGTCCTTTGCGCCATATGCCGCAAAGAGGCCTGGAGTGTTTAGCAACAGAAAAAAGATGTTGCACCAGGATTCAGGCATGATTTTACATGTTTTCCTTTCCGATTTCCCAGGATATTTCCTTTTTCTCAGCATTTTTTTGTTACCCAGCTTCTGTTTGATTTTGCCTATTTTTTTTTCCCCCAAACAGTGTGGCCATACTGAGAGGTTCTTACGGTAAGTGTTAAGGCGCGCTGTTTGAGCTGCATGGTATCTGTAGCGTCCGGCATTTTCCGTGTAATTTCCCACATAAAATGGCTCTTGTGACATGTCCGTGTGCATTTCGAGTGCGCAGGCTCGCACAAAACGGGTGTCGCGGTCCTGGCGGTGCAGCATTTTTGCTGTAAATTTCCGTTTAAAATGGCTCTTGTGGCATGTCCATGTGCATTTCGACTGAGCAGATTCGTGCAAGACGAGAAATCTCGCACAGACATCTTGCCAAGAGACTTCTTGTAGAGACCTTGTACAGAGGTCTTGCCAAGAAACCTCTTATGGAGATCTTGTTCGGAGATATTGCCAAGAGACTTCTTCCAGAGATCTTGCCAACAGAGCTCTCATAGAGATCTTGTACAGAGATCTTGCCGGGAGACCCGTTCTAGAGATCTTGCTCAGAGACCTGGTGAAGAGAGCAGAGATCTTGCTCAAAGATCTTGTATCGAGAGCTTGAACAGAGATCTTACTTTTGAGATCCCTCACAGAGATCTTCTGTGGAGATCTCTTAAAGAGAGATCTCTTCAAGAGTCTTTCCAAGAGACCTCTTATAAAGATCTTGTACAGAGATCTTGCCAGGACACCTCTTATGGAGATGTTGTACAGAGACATTGCATAGAGATCTGTTGCAGAGATTTTGCGAAAGGGTCTCTTACATAAATCTTGCCAAGAGAACTCGTCTAAAGCTTGTACAGAGGTTTCAAAAAGAGATCTTGTACAGAGACATTGCACAGAGATCGGTTGAAGTCTTGCCAAGAGGCCCCTTACAGAGATCTTGCGAAGAGACCTCTTCTACAGATCTTGTGCAGAGATCTTGCCAGGACACCTCTTATGGAGACCTTGTACAGGGACATTGCAAAGAGACCTGTTGCAGAGATTTTGCCAAGAGGTCTCTTACATAGATCTTACCAAGAGAGCTTTTATAGAGAGCTTGTGCAGAGATCTCATAAACAGGTCTTACCAAGAGATCTCTTCTAGAGATCTTGTACAGAGATCTTGCCAGGAGACCTCTTTTGGAGATCTTCTACAGAGTCCTGGTGAAGAGAGCAGAGGTCTTGCTCGGAGATCATGTGTAGATAGTTTGAGCAGAGATCTTACTTTGAGATCCCTCACAAAGATCTTCTCTTATAGACCACCTTGTACAGATAGCCTTTCGCAGGGATCTTGCACAGCAGCTTCTACAGAGAACCTGTCAAGGAGATCTTGCGCACGATCTTCCACAGAGATCTTCACAAAGGGAACTTGCAGAATCTTACCTGGCATCTGTTCTTTTCACTACTAGGGTCGCTCTTGTCCGGCTAGCTTGCAGCCACTGATGCTTTTAGGTCCTTTCCGCCTTTCCCTTTAGAATCCAAACTGCACACTGTTTGGGGTCTCTTGCCGGGATAGTTCTAAATTTCGGAGGTGGAGGCTGATTCCATGCGCAAGATCTGTGGGAAAGAGACCTGGAAGAAGTTTCAGGACGCGATCATCGATGCTCGGGTGGAAGCTCGTGTCCAAAAGATGCAGAAAGCCTTCGATGAACGTCTCCAGAAGAAGGTAGACGAACTGATGGAGTCCTATGGCAATGAGGACGGAGCAGATTGGAACCCCCAACAAATACCTAGAGATTCTGGTAGCAAAGGATAGCAAAGGCCAATTTTAGAACGTTGGGCAGTTCTGTTGGTTTGAGTTTCACCGAGACAAGAGTGTTCAATATTTTCTTCTGTGGTCCAAACCGAAATGTTGGTTGTTTTTCCTTCAGGAACACAGCATCAAACTCCAGGCCGACAAATATGCTCAAGAGGCTCGCAACAGCGCACTGAATTTGCACTGTCCGCATTGCAAGCAAGTCTACTCCGAGTTTGATGGCTGCATGGCGCTGGAGTGCGCGCATTGTAAAGGTCATTTCTGCGGCTATTGCCACAAGGCGCTCGCTTCTTCCCGAGGTGAGCGGTGACCAAAAGCCATGTTGATGGATTGTATTATAATATAGGGCATTCTGGGGGTATAATAGTGGCACCTCCATATTGTGGATTAGGAGGACCCATTGTAGGAATTACCTTCAACCAGTATGAAGTGATGACAGAGGGTCTAGAACTTTGCTCAGGTGCTCATGACCATGTACGTGAGTGTGATGCAAATTTGACCACCAATGGCAGCTACTATGCCACTCCCGAGCAAATCCGCGAAGGGCAACGCCGTTTCCGGGTGAAGCAGCTGAAGAAGTTCTTCGAAGAGAAACAAATGAAACAGAGAATCAGGAATGTGTTGGCCTTAGACTTCCCAGCTTTGCACAGGAGTGGAGGGTTAGCTTTCCATCAGCAGTTTGGGTCAAACAAGAGTAAATTGATCATGATCAGCTCTGAGGCCACTATCATTGAACTCGGAAGAGATCTCGATGATTTGGGCGTTGAACCAGCTGCACTTTTTAACTTTGGCAATTTGCAGGGTTAGTTGTGGGTCAAAAACGGTTTGGACACCCAACATGGTTAATTAAAATGGTTGGTTTTCTGGGATATACACGTAATCAACGAAAAAATGTGGGCCCATTGGTGCCTAATTTTGACCCACGTCCAGTGGCAGATATGCGAAATCTTACGCACCGCATGGCGCGGCGCCATGTGATCCATGGCCCAGGCCATGAATCACAGTGGCGAATTTCATGCAGTCCTTCAACGGGAGGACAATTATAATATATTATAATACATAACAAATATAAACCAATGGATTCCGGGAATATCCAAAAAATCGCACGATATATCTGTCTATATATCATTATATATCTATATACGGATACGTACGTGTATATGTGTATATGTGTATATGTGTATATGTGTGTATGTGTGTATGTGTATATGTGTATATGTGTGTGTATGTAAATGCATATCTATATGTAAATGTACATGTATATGTAAATGTATATGTATATGTATATGTATATGTATATGTATATATATATGTAATATATGTATATATGTATGTATATATATATATATATTCGATTTGTTTCTTGCCGTTCATGGAATGAACTTGTTTTCCAAAACAAGACTGTAGGCCCCAGGGCACCAGCGAACAGGTGGCGCAAGCCTGGCCGCATGACATTGATTCATTGATTCAGATCTGAAAATGAGCCAAGCTGCGTGGTGCTGGGTTGCTTTCCATCAACACGCTCTCGGGAATTAGTTTGAAACTCCCAAGAAATTCAACGGAGTGGTTTCAGGCAAAAATTTGCAACCAACGGTTTACGTTTATAGAACTAGGAGGTTACCGTGGATGTTTCAGACACATCTTGGAAAATCCAGTCGCCGAGAGTTTCATAATAAAATTGAGTTTTCCTGTAAATTTACCCTTAAAACCATCCAAACTCCCTTTTTCCACTGAGAGATTTTTAGCCCGATCAGGGTCTGATTGCGATGTCAGATTTCCAAGACGACGAGCTGTTGTCTGCTGGGGAGTCCGAGAGTTTTGAGCCAGGGCAAACAGGGAAGTGATGATTCCTAAAAAATCGGATGAAGGGTTTTATAACATGACTTTTTCGTGGGTTACAGCCCCAATGATATAGTTGTTAACAGCCACATGATGGCAACAATCATCCCAAGAATTCCATTTACTTGCCATGAGACCTTGATTATTAAGCCACAAATGATGATTCGTGAGGGAACCCAGACTGGGGCACATATCTGATTTGGGAATTCTTGTGAAACTCTGTCCAGATTCAGTCAAAACTCATTCTGAAATTTGGAGTCATGGCTATTTTTGTTTCTTCCAATTTGAATCCCCAACCATTGAACCGTTGTTTTGTGGCTAGGGACCGTGTTCGTTCTTTTTTGTCCCCGAAGTTTAAAACAAACACAATCAACGGACCCACATTGAATGGAAATTCCTGATTCCCTACCTGCCAGGTGAGGGTCTCTAGATTTTATCAGAGTTGCCTTCTCCTTCCTTCTTCCGTCTCCTCCGGCAGCCTAGGATAGCAACGAGGGACCTCAACCGCCAGCTCCACATCTCACTGAGCACTGCCCATGTCAAAGAGAATGTCAGAATAAATACCAGATAGAATGGCAGAACAGAATGTCAGAATTAATGGCAGATAGAATGCTGGAAAGAATGTCAGCACATATGCCAGAAAGTATGTCAGAATAGGTGCCAGATAGAATGCCAGAAAGAATGTCAACATATATATGCCAGAAAGCATGTCAGAATATATATCCAATATATACTTCCATGTTAGAAACTATGTCAGAATAATTGTCAGGGTGGGGATCACTCGAAGAAAATCATTTTTTTGTGGTGGGAGTAGAGCCGCGCTAAGCTGCTAAGATCGTGGTGTTGCGACGTGGCACGAAGGCATGACTTGGCATGACTTCGCGCGGATTACAGTACTGGGTTGCACCTTTCTTTGCCTTGATGGTCAGGAGTCATCATGGTCTGGCTGGTGGTTTCTACTGTTTCTCTATGTTCAACCACTGCACAATGCTAATCCCAAGCGTCGCAATGGCCAGGTGATTTGTGGCACGCAATCAGGTGATCGATGGGATCTTGGCATTCCATGTCATCAGGGGGATGACCCAACCCATTGCATTGGCATATATGTAATAAATCCATATGTTTTACCATAGTATTATACCCATGGTTTATGGTTTACCCAATATATATTTGTATTAATGGGTAAACCAGTTCTGTCGGTGTTTATTTCCTGGAAGACTGGAACCATGCTGGGCCTTTATGGTTTTTTTTTGCGACGGAGGCATGTTGCCCATCTTCAGTTGGGGCGACTTTGGGGATCAGAAGGCGGGCACGGGGCGCGGCTCTATGCCATCAGTGCATAACAGTTATCTTCGATGGAAAAAGATCTTTGATAGGTGGATGGTCCATGATGGTCCATGATGGTATCTGAGGTGGCAAAAGACCGGGTTTGAACTTGGTCGGCTGTGGTAGGGGATAAAATGACTTCCAGGAGGGTGGTTGGAAGGAGGGACTTGCAAGTCAACAGTTATGTAATACTATGTCTATGCATTTGCTATGTAATGTAATGTAGTGTAGTGGAATGTAATTTAATGTGGTGTAGCGTACTGTACTGCAATGTAATGCGATGTAATGTAATGTAATGTAGTGCAGTGTAATGCAATATAATGTAGTGTAGTGTAATGTAATAGAATTTAGTGTAGTGTAGTGTAATGTACTGTAGTGCAATGTAGTGTAGCGTAATATAATGTAATGTATAGTATAATGCAATGTACTGTTCTGTACATTAATATTGGGGATTTATATTTGTTGATGATACACCGCTATTGATAATTTGTATTTACACAGTATTTATCAGGAGTGTGGTGTAGTATAGTGAGCATTTCATCATCCAGTTGCGAATCATTTTCTCAGATTAGATTCAGCAACTCTGGGTCAAAAAGTGAAGTCCCGTTTGCCCATTGATGTTTCGAACGCGAACTTGTTTATCTTTCCTGTGATTTTAGTCGATCATTTTATACACACACACATGTTCCCCCCCCCCAGTCAGCTACAGCACTTGGCTGGTGATTTAGAATTCTTCGCGCCCCCCATGAAGGGAATTGTCACTCTGGGGTAGCTTGAGGATACAAGCACTAACCAGAACCACCAGATCACCATTGTTGGTGGTTGGTTTTGGATATTTCTTGTGTTGAAGCCTACTTGGGGTGAGGATCCTCCATAATGACATCCTACCAAGATGTTCGGGAGGGACTGAAATCACCACTCAGACTGGACTGTCCGGAATTCATCATGAAGCTCAGCAGCTGAACGAGAACGATGAACTTCATCCCCAAAGAATCATTAGAAAACAAATAGCTGGATGAACCAAACCCAAAGGATGGGTTGTTTTCTATTTTCTGATGGGTTATATCAGAAATATTGCCAGATTTTTTCGATTTAGACCATGTCCATCAGGTCGCTTGCCTCGCCAGGATCGCATCAAGGGTCATCCCATGTCCATCGATGCCATGGTGAAGCTGGATGAGGACGTCCTCGTGCAGTTGGGGGACCTGTTTCCATGGGTCCATGGTGATGTCATCCCCATAAATTGCTTGGATAATTACCCTCTGGTAATTTAACATAGCTATTGAACATGACCATTAATAGTGGATTTTCCCATTAAAAATGGTGATTTTCCATAGCTATGTCAGCCATTACCAGAGGGTAATTGGGACATCACTGACATCACCCCGAAAAAAACTGGATGGTATACCCTCTGGTAAACTAACGTAACTATGGAAAATCACCACTTTTAATGGGAAAATCCACTATTTCTATGGCCATGTTCAATAGCTATTTTGACATAACCAGAGGGTATCTATGGTGACAAGCTCCACGGGAAAAGAGGCCCCCCCCTTTTTTACGATGGTTCAATGTCGGCTTGAAGCTGTAACTGCACCCGGAGTGTGATTTTTTTTCCAGAAACCAGGTTTGATTATCAGAGAGTGTGGGTGTAAGCAATAGAAAAGGTGTTTAAGTAACAATTATATAAGTAGCGGTTGAAGTAAATAATGTGAGGTTAGACCATGAAGAACATATATTCAATCAAGAATGGTGATTCAAGCAACAAAAAGCGGAATTCGACCAATGATGACAGGGAGCCAAGATAAGGATATTGCAAGCCAATATTTCAAACCAATTGGCAAAAAGGATAGTTCATTATAGGCACCCAGACACCTATACAGTCTTGTTTTTTGAAGCCAACTCTTTGCAGCCATCTCCTCAACATTTTCTTTCTCTGGGTCAAAGTTACGTCAAAATTGCATGGTTCCCACCAAAATGGGATCCAACATGATGAGTTCCCTAATAAGCTCTCCAAATCTTCTAAGTCCCCCCCGCATCAGACCATGACACGGATATGCTTTGGATGATGGACACATCTACAGACCCCTATATTATCCTAGGTTGACGGAGGAAAAGCAATCCATTCGGATAGTGACCTGTGATTTTCTCCTGTCAATTATGATTGATCACCTATCCCCGCTATTATCCCCGCTATTATCCCCGCTATTATCCCCGCTATTATCCTACATTATCCTACATTATCCTACATGACTCCATGAGGATCGCAGCGTCTTTTGTTTTTTTTGACTGGAGGACGGCATCATCACCGGCTCCTCAGATGGAAAGCTTCGGGTGGTGTCTGTGCACAGCAAAAGTGCGCCTGGGAGGGGCCATGGAAGGTGACCGGGAAGATGCAGAAATTGGGGAAGCTGATGAGATGAATTACCCTCTGGTAATTTAACATAGCTATTGAAAATGGCCATAGAAATAGTGGATTTTCCCATTAAAAGTGGTGATTTTCCAATAGCTATGTTAGCTTACCAGAGGGTAGGATGCAAAGGGACACCCTATTTTCACACAAAGCCTGTTTCGCATGCTTCAGATCATCAAAGAGATGACATGGTTGTTGTTGGTGGCTCCACCTTGGTGGGTTGAAACTACCC